GACAGGTTTTTAATGAAACAGGAAAGCTTGTTCAGTAAGTGGGTTATCTCACTGAAAACACTTACGAGATTATTCCCCCCGCAGTGCTGACTGCACTGAGAGCGTACGCTGTTTAATGGGGCCCAAAGCCCCTGTACATTTACGATCAGGCATAACCTAATGACCACCTCCTTGTTTCTACGCTCATTGTCCACTTTATCAGCTCCACTTACTATATAGGTGCACTTTGTAGTTCTACAGTTACAGACTGTAGTCCATCTGTTTCTCTGATACTTTGTTAGCCCCCTTTTACCCTGTTCTTCAGTGGTCAGGACCCCCAAGGACCCTCACAGAGCAGGTACTATTTGGGTGGTGGATCATTCTCAGCACTGCAGTAACACTGACGTGGTGGTGGCGTGTTAGTGTGTGTTGTGCTGGTACGAGTGGATCAGACACAGCAGTGCTGCTGGAGTTTTTAAACACTGTGTCCACTCACTGTCCACTCTATTAGACACTCCTACCTTGTCAGTCCACCTTGTAGATGTAAATTCAGAGACGATAGCTCATCTGCTGCTGCACAGTTTGTGTTGGTCATCCTCTAGTCCTTCATCAGTGATCACAGGACGCTGCCCACAGGACGCTGTTGGCTGGATGTTTTTGGTTGGTGGACTATTCTCAGTCCAGCAGTGACACTGAGGTGTTTAAAAACTCCAGCACCACTGCTGTGTCTGATCCACTCAGACCAGCGCAACACACACTAACACACCACCACCACATCAGTGTCACTGCAGTGCTGAGAATGATCCACCACCCAAATAGTACCTGCTCTGTGAGGGTCCATGGGGGTCCTGACCACTGAAGAACAGGGTAAAAGGGGGCTAACAAAGTATGCAGAGAAACAGATGGACTACAGTCTGTAACTGTAGAACTACAAAGTGCACCTATATAGTAAGTGGGGCTGATAAAATGGACAATGAGCGTAGAAACAGGGAGGTGGTCAGAATGTTATGCCTGATTGTAAATGTAGAGGGGCTTTGGGCCCCATTAAACACCGTAAGCTCTCAGTGAAGTCAGCACTGCTTTCTCAGTTTCAACATTTGATTTGTTGTCTTTGTGCTGTTTTCAAAGAAATATAGGGTTTAAATCGTTTGCACATGATGAGCTAATCAGGAACAGAGGGCCGGTCCAACTAATCAGGAACCGCAAACAGGATGACTTAGACCTGGAACAGACAAACAGACACAAAACAGACACATAGCAAACTAAGCATGACTTGGGTTGTAACATTAGTAATGACACTAGTCCTGCTACCACTACTGTAATACTATAATACTAGCATTACTGTACTAATACTAAGACTGATATAGTAGGTTTTACTACAGTATTACTACTATGTGTGTGTGTGTGTGTGTGTGTGTGTGTGTGTGTGTGTGTGTGATTGGACTCCTTGGATTTAAGCCCATTACTGCACATTAGTGCCCCTTTGAACACCGTAGATAAATCCTGTAGACTAGTTATTACACTAATGCTGTTGCGAGCGCTCGGTCATTAAGAAGCTTTTACCATCGACTTCAGTGTTGATAGAGCTGATGCTGCTGGTGTGTTTATGCAGTAATACAGTAGAGAGAGTGCTATACAGTGAGATATTGGCATTGGAGTGCTGCGATCGTAAACATGAGGCTAAAGGACTGAGTAGATCAGCGCAGCAGTTTGGATATCAGTACAGCAGCACCTCCTGTGCATTACAGTGGTTTTACCACAGGTTCATTGGTAAGTTGGTCTGAAAAAGGCAACTTATTGTTCTTCAATTATTATTATTATTATTATTATTAATTTTATTACAGGTTAACATTTCGCAACCCTTCTCCTCTTACAGCTTTTGAACAAAATGCATAGCAGCCCCCAGAGAAACCACACCAGTGACTTAGCATCACCTGGAATACCATAGCAACAGCCTAGCCACACTCTTTGGCTACCATGGCAATGACCAAGCAGCACCTTTGCAACCACCTGGGATACCATAGCAACAGCCTAGCGACACCTTAGATACCACCTGGGATACTACAGCAGCAGGCTGGCCACACACTTGCAGCCACCTGCAGTGCCATAGCAACAGCTAAGCAACACCATAGCAACTCTCTGGGACACCATAGCAGCGGCCTAGCAACCACTTAACCACCACCCAGCAATGCCCTAACAACAAGCTGGAATACCTCAGCAACCTACCATAGCAACACCATAGCTACTACCTGAAATTACTATGTAAGCCCAATTAAGTTATTAAAAACAATCAACAGTTTTCTGCAACTGCTTTTTCTTCTGTAGCCAACTTAAAGTATATTAACAAACTTTCTCAGTCTATTTGATATTTATCATTAGATTTCAACACAATTTTGACACAAAATCTGACTAAAAAGAAAGTTTATTCACTCTCCCTGCAACATCGGGGTGTCTACACTGGAAACGTCAAGTCTGATCTTCAGGACAAAATGTAAGCAAACCACAAACTTATCAGCTGATAGTTTGACAGAACTAGATACACCTTTTATGTGTAAAAATCTAAAAACAGATTTAAAAGCAATATAATAGATTGAAAACGGAGTATTACTGACTGAAACTCCCGCTAGTCCAGCAGTTTCTCTGTCTTGTTTTGGTTAATGTCTGTATGGAATATAGAGCTGACTTTTCTCCGCCTCATTGATCAGTTTCTACTCATCTGATTTTGGATAGGTTAACTGTGTTTTGACGAAAGGCGGCTGTATTTAACTGCCGGTATTTAAGGTGGCACAGGGCGTCCACTCATGTCTGGTGTAAACACCTTCATTGATTACAGTGGAAGCATTTTGGTTTTGTCGTTGTTGCTCGATTGCTGTACACGGCAAAAAACAGTTAATAATAGTTAATAAATCTAATATTTCTCCTGTTGAGATTGTTGTCATCTTAATTTAAGATTATTTACCTTATTTCTAGACCTTTTTTACTTGTTTTAAGTAATTTTATTGAGTAAAATTATCTCACTATGTTGGCAGATAAGTTTGCTTGTTTTAAGAAATGTAACCAGCAAAACTATCTGCCACTATAGTGAGATAAATGTACTTGATAAAATGACCTAAAATGGGTAAATAATGTCTAGAAATAGGCTAGATAATCCTATAATAGGTGCACAACCATCTCAAAATAAGAAATATGATCGATCGACTAGATTTAAGATAATTTCACTTGATAAGAGATTATTTTTTGACGTGTAAGGACGAGATGGTGTTTGTTATAGTTACTTTCAGCTGACGTCTTACTTAATAAACGTGTGGCTGTGACTTTTTTGACAGCTGGTTGCTTACAGGAGTGATACTTCGATCGGAGAGCCGTTATCAGGAGACCCTGCCGCTCATATATAATACCTCTCAGACAGTCGCATTGCTAGGTTGCATCTAACTGTGGTGTAATTAGAGTTAGACGATCATTCCTTCTGCCTTTAGCTGGACTATCGGATTCTCTCAGACTCTGAGACGATGATGTTTAGTGAAACCACTTGGATAAGTGTGTGTGTGTGTGTGTGTGTGTGTGTGTGTGTGTTGAGAACCACCATAGTGCTGAGTTAATCCCTCAGCCCAGCTGTATGAAATATTAAAGCCTATAGATCTGACTCATTTAATATTAATCAGCCTTTTTGTGGAGAGTGACCAAATCTCCACAAATAGACATGCGCTCCAGAAGGGACGGGGACTCAGCATCTCTCTTTACATACCTCTGTATTTCTCTCTCGCACTCGCGCTCTGTTTAACACTGTCTAATCAGAGCAGAGGAGTAGAGTTTTATCTCTGTCTGACGTTTGAGGAAAGTCCTTATCAGTGACATAAAGGACTGAAGGCTTGCAGCTTAGTTTAGTTCCTAAACTCTGTCATAACGTCTTATAAATGCTTATGCATCTACATCTACCGACACACTCTGCAGCCAAATGCTAGCAACCACCTGGGACAACATAGCAGTAGCCTAGCAACACATTAGCAGCCACTTGGGATAGGATAGGCATGGGCTAGCAACACCGTAGCAACAATGTGGAATAGCATAGCAATAGCCTAGCAACACTGTAGCAAACTCGTGGAATAGCATAGCAACAGACTAGCAGCACTATAGCAACCACGTGGGAGAGCATAGCAATAGCCTAGCAACACCTTAGCAACCACCTGGGATAACATAGCAACAGCCTAGCAACACCGTAGCAACCACGTGGGATAACATAGCAATAGCCTGGCAACACCTTAGCAACCAGGTGGGATAGCATAGCAACAGACTAGCAACACCTTAGCTACCACGTAAGAGAGCACAGCAATAACCTAGCAACACCTTAGCAACCAGGTGGGATAACATAGCAACAGCCTAGCAACACCATAGCAACCACGTTTGATAGCATAGCAATAGCCTGGCAACACCTTAGCAACCAGGTGGGATAGCATAGCAACAGACTAGCAACACCTTAGCAACCACGTGGGATAGCATAGCAACAGACTAGCAACACCTTAGCAACCAGGTGGGATAGCATAGCAACAGCCTAGCAACACCATAGCAACCACGTTTGATAACATAGCAATAGCCTGGCAACACCTTAGCAACCAGATGGGATAGCATAGCAACAGACTAGCAACACCTTAGCAACCACGTAAGAGAGCACAGCAATAACCTAGCAACACCTTAGCAACCAGGTGGGATATCATAGCAACAGCCTAGCAACACCATAGCAACCACGTTTGATAACATAGCAATAGCCTGGCAACACCTTAGCAACCAGGTGGGATAGCATATTATTATTATTATTATTATTATTATTATTACTATTACTATCATTATTGTTTTATATCATTATTTATCTCTGTGCTTAACTGTCTAATAAGGATTGTAACATCATCCTCATGATACTACAATTATTCTACAAGTTTATATTATTAATAATAACAGTACTAGTACTACAATAATAATAATAATAATAATAATAATAATAATATTTGTGTGTTTGTTTTCTGCAGGTGGTTGACATATCTGCTGATACTCATCCTGGATCTGGTCATCTGTCTGGCAGCGTGTCTCGGTCTGGCCAAACAGTCGCGCTGGCTCCTCACCACGTAAGAACTCAGACTGCAGAGCTTAAACCACCTCAGTTTACCGGATTTCAGAGAAGCGTTCATCACTGATTTACTCACCGCTTCATTACTGTGTCCAGCACACCATGAGCGAAGTGTCAGTGTTGTATCTTCATTAGTGTCTTATTTATTAAGAGGCTTTAGAAAGTGCAGACTGTGATAGGCACATCTAAAGTACACACTGCATCAAAGTAATAGAGAGAAGGAGAACGGACAGATATTAGAGAGCGAGTGGTCAGAGAGGGTCTTTTTTTTCGTTTTCTGGAGTGAAAGAAATCTCTGGGGCATGAAATCCATCTCCAGCTCAGCCACGCGGGACAAACGCTGTCTGACCACATCACACACACAGGAAAAAGTATAAAACCCTTTAAAATGATCTGGGTTGGAGAGTGAATTGTTCCTAAAATCTACATCATAAAAATGGATTCCAACATAATTATGCAGTACGTTAAGACGTGATAGTGTCAACACAGTGTCATTTTTAACATGCTCACTTTTACACGTCCCCCTGGCGCACCTTTTCACAACAACTGGAGCTTAAAAGGGCCCACATTTTTTAAAAACTAAAATTTCTTACATTTCTTGAAAAAAAAAGATTTTGATGTAAATGTAAACATTGTTAATCTACTGTTCACTGTACTGTTCTCTCACCAGTCTATGCAGTCTATGTTGGCCAAGCTGCGAAAACAGCCATAGCATAGCAACATGATATTACCGCCTTAGCAATCACCTGGAATACCATAGCAACAGCCTAGCAACACCTTAGCAATCACCTGGAATACCATAGCAACGGCATAGCAACGCCTTAGCAATCACCTGGGATACCATAGCAACAGCCTAGCAACACCTTAGCAATGACCTGGAATACTATAGCAACAGCCTAGCAACGCCTTAGCCATCACCTGGAATACCATAGCAACAACCAAGCAACACCTTAGCAATGACCTGGAATACCATAGCAACAGCCTAGCAACACCTTAGCAATCACCTGGAATACCATAACCACAGCCTAGCAACAGCCTAGCAACACCCTAGCAATGGCCTGGGATACCATAGCAACAGCCTAGCAACACATTAGCAATCTAATATAATAACCATACCATAGCAGCACCTTTTCAATGACCTAGGATGCCATAGCAACAGCCTAGCAACACCTTAGCAATCACCTGGGATACCATAGCAACAGCGTAGCAACACATTAGCAATCTAATATAATTTATTATATTAATATTATATTAGCAATCTAATATAATAACCATACCATAGCAGCACCTTTTCAATGACCTAGGATGCCATAGCAACAGCCTAGCAACACCTTAGCAATCACCTGGGATACCATAGCAACAGCCTAGCAACACCTTAGCAAACACCTGAGATACCATAGCAACAGCCAAGCAACACCTTAGCAATCACCTGGAATACCATAGCAACAGCCTAGCAACACCTTAGCAATCACCTGGAATACCATAGCAACAGTCCACTTTTTTCAAAAGGGTTTTATATAGCACCCAAAAGGGTTCTGCTATTGTTACAAGCTCGATATTGTAAAAATATTAAAACCCTTTTTGGTGCCATACAGAACCATATACACCACATCTGAAGAACCATTTCACCATGCAAAGAACCATTTAAGCATGCAAATGATTCTTGGAGTGTTCATGGTTCTACATAGAACCATTGTCTTTACTAAAGAACCCTTGAAAAACCATGCTCCTAATCTGTAGAAATAAATGCTCGCTGGGTCCCTGCAGAATTCAGCGTGTATTAAACACATTCATTCAGGGTAAAATTAGTCATACTGAGTAGAACCAGTCAGATCGAGAACCCTTACAGATCACAGTATTAGAGGCCCCTGAGGACAGTGAGTCACAGTGACTGTGTCTGTTACAGGATGATGGTGTTTGGTGTTCTAACTCTGATCCTGAGCTGGGCGTCTCTGGGAGCTGATATAGCGACAGCTGTGGTGAGTTCCAGAATTACAACTGTTTATACAGTCGCTGGCCACTTTATTAGAAACACCCACCTTGTGCTTCTACTCACTGGCCATTTTATTAGAAACACCCTCCTTGTGCTTCCACTCACTGACCACTTTATTAGAAACACCCACCTTGTGCTTCCACTAATTGGCCATTTTATTAGAAACACCCTCCTTGTGCTTTTACTCACTGGCCATTTTATTAGAAACACCCTCCTTGTGCTTTTACTCACTGGCCATTTTATTAGAAACACCCACCTTGTGCTTTTACTCACTGGCCACTTTATTAGAAACACCCACCTTGTGCTTCTACTCACTGGCCATTTTATTAGAAACACCCTCCTTGTGCTTTTACTCACTGGCCATTTTATTAGAAACACCCACCTTGTGCTTTTACTCACTGGCCACTTTATTAGAAACACCCACCTTGTGCATCTACTCACTGGCCATTTTATTGCAAACACCCTCCTTGTGCTTTTACTCACTGGCCATTTTATTAGAAACACCCACCTTGTGCTTCCACTAATTGGCCACTTTATTAGAAACACCCACCTCATGCTTCCACTGATTGGCCACTTTATTAGAAACACCCACCTTGTGCTTCTACTCACTGGCCATTTTATTAGAAACACCCACCTTGTGCTTCTACTAACTGGACACTTTATTAGAAACACCCACCTCATGCTTCCACTGATTGGCCACTTTATTAGAAACACCCACCTTGTGCTTCTACTCACTGGCCATTTTATTAGAAACACCCACCTTGTGCTTCTACTAACTGGACACTTTATTAGAAACACCCACCTTGTGCTTCCACTCACTGGCCACTTTATTAGTGCTTGTGCACATTTTGGAGATTAGACACTCATAACAGTGAAAATCATTTAATTACTCCAAAAACTTCAAAAGAAGACAAACTCCCCTCAGATGTTTAATGGACAGTGGGCACTGATGGGCAGTAGATGCTGGTGAGAGTGTCCGATTAGTCTGAATGTTATTGTGCAGTAGGAGATCATGCTGAACCTGGGGAGAGAGAATCAGCAGTGTTTGTGCATTCGAGCGTAGAGAAATTTACATATATGCAAATGTAGTTTGAGAAACGTCTGCTTTTCCCTCGGCGTGCGTGTTTGTGTTGTACGTGTGTGCAGTACATATGCAAATGTATGCAGAAATGTAAATGTGGTTTACAGCATGCATATTATCCTCGTATTCTATTGTTGGCACATGTCCTCGAAGGGAAATTCCACCAACTGTTTAAAATTCAGTTCAATTGCATAATTAACTGGTTAAGATGCAAACAGAGTCGTTCAGAGTGTCTAGAAACAAATGTGATGATCTTATAATATCTGTAATAATGTTATTATTATCTTAACTACATTTATAATGTGTTGACTTTGCCAAGATATATTGTTTTTGTCCCAAAGAAACTTATTATTTCAGATTTTCCACTATTTTACCATCTAAATCTAATCTTTAAATCTAAATATTTTAACTTAAAAAGAATAAATAAAAAATCTTACATTTGAAAAAAATGTAAGTATTATTGTCAGAAGTGTAAATTTAGGGGTTAGGGTTTCTGACAGGCTCCTAACAATAGAAAGTACCCCTTAAATGATGATTTTGTATATATTTAGCTTATTACTGTCTTTATTAATGTCTTAAGTTTAAATAGATCAGATCATAATCCTTGTAAACTTCTAAGATCTGAATAATTTGTTTATTTTTTAATATTTTTTACTGTCAGAGCAGCGTGAACTAATCCGGTAGATTGATCCGTCCATCACATTTACAGTCAGTGAGTAATATTAGACATATTAACTACAATTATAATGTGTTCACTTTGCTAAGATATCATTTTTTGCAGTGTGCAGTCAAAATATTCCCCAAAGAAAAGTTTTTATTTCAGATTTTCCACTATAACATTCCATGTCTCAGCGTCTCGGAAGACTCGTGTAGGTTCACTGGTGGTTTTGGACAGTAAATAAGATGTCTACATTGTAGTCATGAAGGGTTGCGTATTTGTTCTTGTGTTCTGCAGGGAACCAGTGATTTCTGTGTGTCTCCAGACAAATTCATCATGAACCAGACCAAAGACGTCGTCAGCTCAGGTGAGTCTCAGTCCAGAGGTGAGTCCAGTTTAATGTAACGGTTCAGCAAAACATCAGACGTGCTCAGATTTCTGCTGAGATGTAGCTGCTCGGCACCGCAGCTATGAGGGCTGCTCCGTTTTTGTCCCTGCTGATGAAAAATTTACATTTTTTAAATATTTAATTTGACTGTAATCTGAGTTTTTTGCTCTCCTTCTGTTTTTCTCTGTGTTTATACAGAAATCGTCCATTATTATTTATACTGCAGCCAGACGCTCCCCAACCCCTTCCAGCAGGTACATACGCCCGTCTGTCTGCCTGTCTGTCTGTCTGTATATACATCTCTGTCTGTCTGTATATCTCTGCCTGTCTGTCTATCTGTCTGTCTGTCTGTATATCTCTGCCTGTCTGCTTATCTATTTATCTGACTATCTGTTTGACTGTCTGTTTGTTGATCCGTCCATCAATCGAATGACCTGTCTATCTACCTGTCTACTGAACTGTCTGTCTATCTTTCAGTCTGCCTCTTTCTGCCTATCTGTCCATCTTTCTTTCTTTTTTCTTTCTTTTTCTTTATTTTCTTTCTTTCTTTCTTTCTTTCTTTCTTTCTCTTACTTTCTTTCTCTGTCTCTCATTTTCTTTCTCTTTTTTCTTCATTTTCTTTATTTTTTTCTTTTCTTTCTTTTCTTTCTTTCTGTTTTTTTTTCTTAATCTTTCTTTCCTTCTTTCTTTTTCTTTATTTCTCTCTTTCTTTGTCTATTTTTTTCTTTCTTTCCTTTTTTCTTTCTTTCTCTTTCTTTCTTTCTTTTTCTTCATCTTTCTTTATTATTTCTTTCTTTCTTCATCTTTCTTTATTCTTTCTTTCTTTTTATGTCTGCCTTTTTGTCTTTCTTTCTTTCTTCTTTTTTTTCTTTATATCCATTTTTACAAACTTTACCAAATTTAAATATTTCAACTTTAAAAGAAATAAATAATGTTAAGCTTGAAAAAGAAAAATGTAAATATTATTTTCCCAAGTTTAAATTTACAAATTAGGGTTTGGGACTGACTCCTCCCACTAGAAAGCACCCTATAAATGATGATTTTGTATATATGTAGCTTATCGCTCTCTATTGATACCTTGAGTTCAAATAAATCAGAACATAATCATTGTAAATATCTAAGATCTGAATACTTGATTATTTCTTTTAATAGTGTTTTTACTGTGGGAGAGCAGTGTGAACCGATTCAGTAGAACGACCCATCTAACATGTATACAGTCAGTGAGCGTATATATCATATATATCATACACTGATCAGGCATAACATTCTGACCGCCTCCTTGTTTCTACGCTCATCGTCCATTTTATCAGCTCCACTTACTATATAGGTGCACTTTGTAGTTCTACAGTTACAGACTGTAGTCCATCTGTTTCTCTGATACTTTGTTAGCCCCCTTTTACCCTGTTCTTCAGTGGTCAGGACCCCCATGGACCCTCACAGAGCAGGTATTATTTGGGTGGTGGGTCATTCTCAGCACTGCAGTAACACTGATGTGGTTGTGGTGTGTTAGTGTGTGTTGTGCTGGTCTGAGTGGATCAGACACAGCAGGACTGCTGGAGTTTTTAAACACTGTGTCCACTCACTGTCCACTCTATTAGACACTCCTACCTTGTCAGTCCACCTTGTAGATGTAAAGTCAGAGACGATAGCTCATCTGTGTTGGTCATCTTCTAGTCCTTCATCAGTGGTCACAGGACGCTGCCCACAGGACACTGTTGGCTGGATGTTTTTGGTTGGTGGACTATTCTCAGTCCAGCAAAGACACTGAGGTGACACTGAACTCCAGCAGCACTGCTGTGTCTGATCCACTCAGACCAGCGCAACACTCCACTCACTAACACACCACCACCACGTCAGTGTTACTGCAGTGCTGAGAATGATCCACCACCCAAATAGTACCTGCTCTGTGAGGGTCCATGGGGGTCCTGACCATTGAAGAACAGGGTAAAAGGGGGCTAACAAAGTATCAGAGAAACAGATGGACTACAGTCTGTAACTGTAGAACTACAAAGTGCACCTATATAGTAAGTGGAGCTGATAAAATGGACAATGAGCGCAGAAACAAGGAGGTGGTCATAATGTTATGCCTGATCGGTGTATATACAGTCAGTGAAGGGTCAAACTAGGAAAATGTTGTTACAAAAATAAGGGATGTTAATAATTTATATTCTTCATTCACTTTCACAGCCGTAATATTAATACAGCAGTGTTTTTGCCGTATGAGCCCAAACTCAGTCTCAAAACCGTCTCATCTCTTCCTCCCCACCTTGATCACTTTCCTTTAGTCTTCTCATCTTCTCCTCTTTGCCTCCTCTAAGTTACTGTGCGCTCTTTTCTTTCCTCTTCTTCACGCCGCGCTCTTTCTTTTCCGCTGTGTTTTGGTGTCTAATTGAAAGGCTGCTTTTGTGCTTCAGCCTCATTTGTTTCAGTTCTCGGCTCTTTGGTTCAGAGCGATGAGCTGATGTCAGATCAAAGCAGATTAATTAAATCTGCCCGTTTTGGGTAATTGACTGTGGCAGAATGTGCAGCAGAGATGGCGGCTCTTCCTCTTTATAGTCTGGGTCCTCAGATCGCCCAGTTAGGGCTGATTTAAAGTGAAAATCTGGTGAAAAATATGATTTGTGGTTTTCCCCCTTTACTCCAAATGTAGCCGATCAGCCCAGACATGTTTGGTGTCTAAAGTTTTGCCTCTTTAATTTAAGAACTTGGTTTATACCTGTAGTTTCTTCAGCAAATGTCATAGGCAGGAGTCATTTAACTTCATATAACCTCGTATCTGTATGAGTGTAGATTATTTTTACTATTAAGGCCAGACACGCCGCATCGGGCAGTGTCTAAAAATACGAAACCACTGCGTTGAACGCCGTGTCCTAAAAAGCTCCCATCATAATCAATGAAGTTGTCTACACTGTCAGAAATAAAGGTTCTGTTCAGGTACATTTTTCGTTCATCGAGGTACAAACAGTGTAAATGTTCCCTCAAAACTCCAACAGTGGTTTTAAGGTCTGATTGTGAACCTTAAATAAGTTTTTCCAGGTGAAAAGTTCGTATTTGTACCTTTTCATAACTGAATGTTTTAAACAGAACAGTAAAATAAAAGCCTGGAGACGAGACGGGGTGTGTGGAGTCAGTACAGCTTAGAACATATCATTTCAGTGGATTATGGTTCAGTTATGTTCCCTGACTAAAGGTACTGAGATGGACCCTTGAGGGTTCCACCCCAGTGACAAGAGGGGAACTGACCCAGTGACAGTTCAACACCTTTATTTCTGAGCGTGCACACCAGCTGTGAGCAGCCGAGTGTGATGTGGTGTGATGCAACTCTGTTTTTGACAGATGCCCCATTTCTTTTTGATGCATCACTTTGCTCTGCCGTTCAGCCTCAAATAGAAGATGAGAAGCTCATCCACGAAGTGGAGTAAAGGAGGATCTGTATGACCCTTCCAGTAAATTTTATAAGCAATTTGTAGAGAAATTTTCAGAGTGGAAGCTGGAGGTGAATGGATACTGTTTATTTTGAGTCACTGATCAATAAGGATACAGCCAGTTAGCAAAGTAGACCTAGCAGATACCACTGAACTGCCCAGCACATGAGGGTAACTGAGACACTCACTCAGTTTAGCTGACGTCTCAGTGTATCTTCTGATGGGTCCGTCTGTTTGTGTTTCGACTTGATGCGAGCTCGACGTTTCCAGTTTAGACATCCCGAAGGTTCGCTTGCTGTTAGAGTGTCAGCTGTTATACACAGATCAGGCATAACATTCTGACCACCTCCTTGTTTCTACGCTCATTGTCCATTTTATCAGCTCCACTTACTATATAGGTGCACTTTGTAGTTCTACAGTTACAGACTGTAGTCCATCTGTTTCTCTGATACTTTGTTAGCCCCCTTTTACCCTGTTCTTCAGTGGTCAGGACCCCCATGGACCCTCACAGAGCAGGTACTATTTGGGTGGTGGATCATTCTCAGCACTGCAGTAACACTAACGGGTTGGTGGTGTGTTAGTGTGTGTTGCGCTGGTCTGAGTGGATCAGACACAGCAGTGCTGCTGGAGCTTTTAAACACCTCAGTGTCGCTGCTGGACTGAGAATAGTCCATCAACCTAAAACATCCAGCCAACAGCATCCTGTGACCACTGATGAAGGACTAGAGGATGACCGACACAAACTGTGCAGCAGCAGATGAGCTATCATCTCTGACTTTACATCTACAAGGTGGACTGACAAGGTAGGAGTGTCTAATAAAGTGGACAGTGAGTGGACACAGTGTTTAAAAACTCCAGCAGCACTGCTGTGTCTGATCCACTCGTACTTACTTTAAAATGATCTCAGACTCAGGAAAACGTCCTTCACATGTCCTTATTAAAGAAGGCCGAGAGGAAGACGTCGTGTTCTGAGACACATAAGCTGGACGTCCGTCCCACCGCCGTCTTCTAAAGATCAGAGCATGAACTTCGTCTCCTCTGCAGACCAGTTTCTGCTCCGCCATGTTGAACGGTATAAACTCTCACTATGACGCGACGAACATGATCAGAACGGACTTAAACTTTCCGATAGGGAATGTAATCAGATACAGGCGTTTACACGGATATTATTCTTCTAATTAACTGATTATTTACAGGATTTCCCACCTCGATCAATCAGATAGAAACTGTATTCCGATTGAGGTGTTTACGTGGACGTATTCTATTCCGATTGATCTATTAGTCGGATTATTAACGGATTATTAGGCTGCATCTAAATGTGGCTACTGTGACATAAGCTGGTCAGCAAGCTAACGCTGTTTGCATTCATACTAGGCTCCTCAGAATGAGCGTTTTTGTTTATATCTTCACGCCCGACATAGAAAAATATGAGCTTATGTTTGATTCTGTGTAATCGTAAACCTGTTTGTGAGCGAATGTGTGCAGTATATTGTTTTTATATTAACCAATGAGTTAGGCTAACTAGCGAGCAAGGCAGCTGATTAACCAAATTAGATGCTTTAGACCCTGCTAGAAAAACGAGCATAGACCAGCAAAACCGGCATATCTTGTGTTTTGGATGACCACACTGGGGTCACCAGCCAAACCAGAACCAGATCCGCACTAAACAAGCATGACTTTTGTCCATATTTTAGTCCATGTTTATAGCTAACAGTCAAACAGTGTCAGAAACCACATAATCAAGACTATTAGAGATACTGAACACCTCCACACAGTTTGAGGCGAGTGTGTGATGATCTAGACATACAGTTAGCTCCATGCTAATTGGTGGGGAATAAGCTTAAACTCATTAGCTACATTAGCCTCGTAGCTCACGTTGGCTCATTAACGATTTGGGGAAAGGAACAAAACTGTATTTATCACTTTAAATTGCCCCAACAAACTAACGAGAACTATATAGGTTAGAATTCTGGGTCTGGTCATTGTAAGTGACAGGTGAGGTCAGCTGCTCTGTCCTGTTTCGCATGTGTTAAGTTTGTGAATTGTGGTGTGAGTGCTCCCTCTGCTGGTAAACAGCTGAACTGCAGAATTTGACTGTGTGTTTTTCAGAACTGGTCCCTGTAGTAATTCAGATAAATACCACAGGGATTTCCTCCCTCCAAAAGCTGTGGCTTATATTTGAAAAAGTGAAAGAGATCTTATTCTAATAGATTATAATCGATTCGAACATTTTAAAACCAGTGCAGTAGAATTGCCACCGTCAGATCTATGCATTTTTATACCCCCGCTGGGTGTGTATCTATAATTTATTTGTATATAATTGATTTTGGAGTAGGATCTGACCCTGATTCAGTTTGTTTTACAGTCTTTATTGATATGTATTTGATTCTAGAGTGAGATCTGACCCTGATTCAGTTTGTTTTATAGTCTTTATTGATATGTAATTGATTTTAGAGTAAGATCTGACCCTGAACAGTTTGTTTTACCATCTTTATTGATATGTAATTGATTTTAGAGTAAGATCTGACCCTGAATCAGTTTGTTTTACCATCTTTATTGATATGTAATTGATTTTAGAGTAAGATCTGACCCTGAATCAGTTTGTTTTACAGTCTTTATTGATATGTTTTTGATTCTAGAGTGAGATCTGACCCTGATTCAGTTTGTTTTATAGTCTTTATTGATATGTATTTGATTCTAGAGTAAGATCTGACCCTGAATCAGTTTGTTTTACAGTCTTTATTGATATGTATTTGATTCTAGAGTGAGATCTGACCCTGAATCAGTTTGTTTTACAGTCTTTATTGATATGTATTTGATTCTAGAGTAAGATCTGACCCTGAATCAGTTTGTTTTGCAGTCCCTGACAGTTTTCCAGCGATCACTGACCACCATGCAGATCCAGGTCCAGGGGCTGCTGCAGTTCGCTGTGCCTCTGTTCCCCACGGCTGAGGTGAACACACACGTACACACAGATTACTCTTACAGGAATCAGATGTTTTGTGCTTAGGTATTTTGTGGAAGGGTAAATATGTAAAATTTTAAATTTTCAGCTGTTTTAATGCTTCAGTTTTCTAAAGCCAAAACTTTTACTTTACAAAGACATTAAAATGACCTTAAATATAAATGATTTTTGTATTTTTTCCTTTATAGTCAGGAGGACAGCAAGGCAAATAGTCATTTATTGTAAACAGAATAAATAGTAGTTCAGTTTTCTGATGTTTTGCTTGTGGAACGTTTTTTTTAACAGTCCATCAGGAGTCAGCAAACACAAAGGCTTTATTGGCCTCAGTTCTGCTTTTCCGTGTTGGAAATGTCTTGATATTGCTGTGCGGAGATTCTCAGAGAGGAAATCCAGATGAGAGACTAGAAAACATATTCATATATAAAGTGTATATATAAATTCTGTTGTAATCCTGATGTGTCTGCTGATGTTCACAGAGAGATTTGTTGGGCATCCAGCAGCTGTTGAACAATTCAGAAGGAAGCCTGCACCAGCTGACCGCCCTGCTGGACTGCAGAGGACTCAATAAGGTACTGTGTACTGAAGTGTAGAACCACAGTGTACTAAAATGTAGAAGTGCATGATTGAATTGCCCCATTTTCATCCCTAAGATGTGACCAACAATCAGCAGATTCATTTTCATTTCAGCTGATCTGAGCTGCCATAATATTGCAAACTATAAACAATAAACAATATTACACACTAAACAGGGTTACTGACTGCAAAAATCAGCCCAAAAACGGAGCTGAAATGTAATCAGAATCAGTTCTTCTGAAAGTTCATGATCGGTGCTCCTCTATTAACATTCATATATGTAAATATCTGTGAATCATGAATTATATAAATTATAAAGTTGTTTAATATATTTATGTTCTTATATAAATTGAAAAATCGTATAATTTTATTTTCAGTTTGTTTTATTATGTAACATTTTTACCTGTATGTATATTACTGACAACTCCTACTGACTAATATGCCTACTATTGACTACTCACCACTAACTTCCTGTTTTATTGTCTGCTGCCTCACTACTGACTTAGTGTTTAATTGTCTGCTGTCTCACTACTGACTACTGACTTAATGTTTTATTATCTACTGCCTCACTGCTGACTATTGACTTCCTGTTTTATTGTCTGCTGCCTCACTACTGACTTAGTGTTTAATTGTCTGCTGTCTCACTACTGACTACTGACTTAATGTTTTATTGTCTACTGCCTCACTGCTCACTACTGACTTCCTGTTTTATTGTCTGCTTCCTCACTACTGACTACTGACCTTTTGTTTTATTGTCTGCTGTCTCACTACTGACTTAATGTTTTATTGTCTGCTGCCTCACTACTGACTACTGACTTCCTGCTTTATTGTCTACTGCCTCACTGCTGACTACTGACTTCCTGTTTTATTGTCTGCTTCCTCACTACTGACTACTGACCTTCTGTTTTATTGTCTGCTGTCTCACTACTGACTTAATGTTTTATTGTCTGCTGCCTCACTGCTGACTATTGACTTCCTGTTTTATTGTCTGCTGCCTCACTACTGACTTAGTGTTTAATTGTCTGCTGTCTCACTACTGACTACTGACTTCCTGTTTTATTGTCTACTGCCTCACTACTGACTACTGACTTACTATTTTATTGTCTGCTGCCTCACTACTGACTACTGACAATGTTTTATTGTCTGCTTCCTCGCTACTGACTACTTTCTTCTTGTTTTTTTGTCTGTTGCCTCACTACTGACTTAATGTTTTATTGTCTACTGCCTCATTACTGTCTACTGACTTTCTGTTTTATTGTCTGCTGCCTCACTACTGACTACTGACTTAATGTTTTATTGTCTACTGCCTCACTGCTGACTACTGACTTCCTGTTTTATTGTCTGCTGCCTCACTACTGACTACTGACTTAATGTTTTATTGTCTGCTTCCTCACTACGAACTACTTTCTTCTTGTGTTTTTTGTCTGTTGCCTCACTTCTGACCTAATGTTTTACTGTCGATTGCCTCATTACTGTCTACTGACTTCCTGTTTTATTGTCTGCTGCCTCACTACTGACTTACCGTTTTATTGTCTGCTTCCTCACTACTGATTACTGACTTACTATTTTATCTGCTGCCTCACTGCTGACCACTGACTTACTGTTTCATTGTCTGCTGCCCAAATTATGCATTTATTAACTACTGACTGATTTCCACAGTAAAATCTCTGATTCACTAAAAGAAAATTGCTGAAATGAAAATAAGAAGATTAGTTAATGTTTCTGAAACAGACTTCAGATCAACAGACTGAAATACGTCAGCAGTGTCAGAATTCTGAGGTGCGTTTCGGTATCTGTGTCTGTGCAGGACTACCTGGACGCTCTGATGGGCGTGTGTTATGATGGAGTGGAGGGTCTGCTGTACCTGTGTCTGTTCTCTCTGCTGGCTGCTGGTGCCTTCTGCACGATGCTGTGTGCTATTCCACGCGCCTGGAGGCAGATCGCCAACAGGTACAGTCACGTTTACACACCAGCGTTCATACATACGTTCATATATCACATTAGATTTGATATTGTCCATTTTATCAGCTCCACTTACTATATAGGTGCACTTTGTAGCTCTACAGTTACAGACTGTAGTCCATCTGTTTCTCTGATACTTTGTTAACCCCCTTTTACCCTGTTCTTCAGTGGTCAGGACCCCCATGGACCCTCACAGAGCAGGTACTATTTGGGTGGTGGATCATTCTCAGCACTGCAGTAACACTGACGTGGTGGTGGTGTGTTAGTGTGTGTTGCGCTGGTACGAGTGGATCAGACACAGCAGTGCTGCTGGAGTGTTTAAACACCTCAGTGTCACTGCTGGACTGAGAATAGTCCACCAACCAAAAATATCCAGCCAACAGCGTCCTGTGGGCAGCGTCCTGTGACCACTGATGAAGGACTAGAGGATGACCAACACAAACTGTGCAGCAGCAGATGAGCTATCGTCTCTGACTTTACATCTACAAGGTGGACGGACAAGGTAGGAGTGTCTAATAGAGTGGACAGTGAGTGGACACAGTGTTTAAAAACTCCAGCAGCACTGCTGTGTCTGATCCACTCGTACCAGGGCAACACACACTAACACACCACCACCACATCAGTGTTACTGCAGTGCTGAGAATGATCCACCACCCAAATAGTAGCTGCTCTGTGAGGGTCCATGGGGGTCCTGACCACTGAAGAAGAGGATATTTGTACAATACTGTGCAAATGTTTTAGGCAGTTAAGCACATTATTTAAAAACACTTATCTCAACAATAAATATGTTTTTGCTTGTGAAAAACACCGTATATCATCAGAATAGATGCAAAAAAACATAAATACGTTAAAGTAGTTGGTATCTTGTGAGCTGGTTTGAAGAACAAAGTTTGGGTCCAGATTTTTCCTCCAGACATCACATTTATTTATTAAGCAGCAGCTGATTTAACATATTGAAGTATTGATTAGATAAAGCAGGTGTTGGATGATCACTACAGATAATACTGGACTGCCATGAGGAGAGGACACAAACAGGCTGACACACATAAAATCACTACTTAACCGTATTAATGTTGCTTGTATTTATTGTAATATTAGGCTTTCTGACCACATAAACACTTACTGACCAGATCGACAACTTTTGAGGGCCTTTGGCAAATTGCATGTTCTGTTGATTTTCTAAATGTAGATAAGTTAACACACCAGTGGTGGACAGTAACTAAGTAAATGTGATTCGTTGCTGTACTTAAGTAGTTTTTTCGTGTATCTGTACTGAAGTTTTTCCATTTTGGGCGACTTTTTACTTTCACTCCACATTTCAAAGTCAAATATCTCACTTTTTACTCCACTACATTATGAGAAATCTGTCGTTCCTTTTGGTTTATGTGTGCATAAAAACATAACATGTCAAAACGAAAGAAGCGCAAAGCAAGAACACCAATCAGGGCACAGCGGTCACTTTGTTTAGAGCTTGTTTTGACCTGTTGGTCATACCGACCCAGTGCAGCACACGGTTCAACATCAGTGCAGCAGCGTAAAATTTTGGGAGAGTCTGTTCAACATAAATGATGAACTAACCTAACTTTGTGTAAACAGACCAGAATATAGAAATATGTACTCATATACAGTTGTGACTGACGTGTCTTTATTCTGAATTTATACAAACACATTTCATTTTATAGTAAATTAGTTTTGGCTAGTTTATGTTTATGAACAGAGACCTACAGATGCAGTTTAGTGAAGGAAACTCATTTGTGAATCTGAGTTTAAAGTTTTTATTGAACTTAAACTTGTAACTAAGTTCAAATAAATCTTAAACTGAAACTTTGCTTGTTTGTAAAAAGTGATTTCAGAGCCACTCAGTTCTACCTGATGGAAACTCTTTGCCTTCAGTGTTTTGTGCTTATGATAATTTTAATAGACATCAGCGTCACTAATTAATGACATTCTATTAAAAGACTGGTTTACCAAGAGAGACACTGGAGTATTTTCACCTAAAATGAGTTAATGAAGCGAGTCTTGTTATAAAAATGATAATAGAACATCAGAGTCATAATTAATCTTTTAGTACTTCTACTTTAGATACTTAAGTACATTTGAAGGCAAATACTTTAGTACTTTTACTCAAGTGGAGGTCTAAAGGGAGGAACTTCTACTTTTACTGGAGTAATATTTTACCTTGGGTGTCTCTACTTTAACTCAGGTACATGGTTTGTGTACTTCGTCCACCACTGTGACCCACTGAGTGTTTCAAAAAGAGGATGTTGATTTTGTAATGATGGTGCATCTGTTAAATAACATCTATTTTTAATAACTAGCAACATATTTTCAGGTGACCTGCATACTATTCAAATATTTTGAATATATAAAAGTTAAAATGGTGTTTCTACGTGAACTACTATGTCAGATTTGAATTAAACAAAGAATAAACTCTAAATTGTATGTTTTCATATAAAATAAACCAGACTATTTTTAGTCTGTTGGTCCTGTACATGTTTAAATTTGCAAACCTCTTACAACATTTAGAAATATAGCAACTTTTAATCCACTTTTCTGCAGATGCACATTTTTTTTGTTTTCCAATATATTAAATCTATTTTAATGCGTGTTCTCTGTATTTAGGTGTATTTACTGTGGAAGATGTGCTGACTTTTCACTTTTTCATACGTATAAACTGATATACACATCGCTGCTGACGCAAGAAAACCTTGTATCTTCATTTTTGACGTTTTTCAGTTTTACATAATTTGAACATATCTGAATGCCCTTTACATTGTATGTGAATTTCATGATGAATGGACTAAAATAAACAACCCAAAATCACTTGGAAAAAACTCTGGTTCCATTGACTTACATTAAAAGTAAAGTAAGTTTTTTCCTTCTCCTGTAAAGTTACCATTTATGGAGGTTTTGTTTCTGAGAACAGCGATATATATTTTAATGTTTGTAAATACAAATGAATCCTTATCTCTCTCTCTCTCTCTCTCTCTCTCTCTCTCACCCCCCCTCCCCAGAGAGCGGGATTATGATGATATAGACGAGGAGGACCCCTTTAACCCGCGTATCCGGCGGTTGGGTTCCCAGCATGCTCAGCAGGGGAACCTGCACAGTTTCTGCAGCTACAGCAGCAGCATGGGCAGCCAGAACAGCCTGCACCCCCCCGCCGCTCCGGCTGCCTCGGCCACCCCGGCCGCTTCAAACGCCCCCGTCAACGAATACATGTGAGACACACTTCTTCGTCCGTCAGGCTTCAGCTGCTACCTGGAGCCAGATTCACGAGTCTCCACAAGATGAGAACTTAAAACACTGGAGTTCATAAGAATGAGCCTCTTCCTCCAACATCTTCCTCAGTTTGTTCTTAAACGTGTTCGTGAGAAAAGTCCTAAGAGAAAGTCTGCGTCAGGTTGATGACGAGTTCATGAAGCGCAGAACTGTTCTCAGGTCCCAAGCTGTAGCTCTGGGTGGGTAACTGGAAGGCAGCCTCTGCAGTGACCCACCCAGACTTACAGCTTTGATTTATTAGGGGGTGAAAATAAGGAAAAAGTCATTAAACAGCTTTTGCATTTAGGCAAAAATATAACGATCTGAGATATTAATACTTTCGTGCGTTAATTACCGAATTTAATTCAACAAGATTTTATGATTTTAAGTCAGAAATTCCAAATAATAACCACAGTTTGTTCTTGGTAAACTATCAGGACAATCAGGTACGTCACTGCATATATGAAGGATAACTCCATATTTAAGTGTGTTAATTTGTGACACATCGTCTACATTAATTTATGTAGTTTTTATGTTTGGTATCTTTATTCTAGAGACCTGTGAAGCCGATAATAGACTACAACAACTTCCATTTACATCATGACTGGCAGTCAGTCTCATATTTTAGGGATATAAGTTGTTTAATGCTGTGATTTTAGTGGGTAGTAGTCTTGATACTAACACTCTCTCTCTCTCTCTCTCTCTCTCTCTCTCTCAATGTTCTATCTCTCTCTCTCCCTCCCACGCTCTCTCTCTCTATTCTATCTGTCTCCCCCTCTTTCTCTCTCTCTCTCTCTCTCTCTCTCTGTTTCTATCTCTCCCCCCCTTTCTCTCTCTCTCTCTCTCTCTCTCTCTCTGTTCTATCTCTCTCCCCCTTTCTGTCTCTCTCCCTCTCTTTCTCTCTCTCTGTTTTATCCCCCCTTTCTCTCTCTCTCTCCCTCTCTCTCTCTCTCTCCGTTCTATCTCTCTCTCTATGTTCTATCTCTCTATCTCTCCCTCTCTCTCTCTCTCTCTCTCTCTCTGTTCTGTCTCTCCCCCCTTCTCTCTCTCTCTCTCTCTCTCAATGTTCTATCTCTCTCTCTCCCTCCCACGCTCTCTCTCTCTATTCTATCTGTCTCCCCCTCTTTCTCTCTCTCTCTCTCTCTGTTCTATCTCTCTCCCCCCTTTCTCTCTCTCTCTCTCTCTCTCTCTCTCTCCGTTCTATCTCTCTCTCTCAATGTTCTATCTCTCTCTCTCCCTCTCTTTCTCTCTCTCTGTTCTATCTCTCTCCCCCTTTCTGTCTCTCTCCCTCTCTTTCTCTCTCTCTGTTTTATCCCCCCTTTCTCTCTCTCTCTCCCTCTCTCTCTCTCTCCGTTCTATCTCTCTCTCTATGTTCTATCTCTCTATCTCTCCCTCTCTCTCTCTCTCTCTCTGTTCTATCTCTCTCTCCCCCCCTCTCTCTCTCTCTCTCTCTCTCTCTCTCTCTCCGTTCTATCTCTCTCTCTCAATGTTCTATCTCTCTCTCTCCCTCTCTTTCTCTCTCTCTGTTCTATCTCTCTCCCCCTTTCTGTCTCTCTCCCTCTCTTTCTCTCTCTGTTTTATCCCCCCTTTCTCTCTCTCTCTCCCTCTCTCTCTCTCTCTCTCCGTTCTATCTCTCTCTCTATGTTCTATCTCTCTATCTCTCCCTCTCTCTCTCTCTCTCTCTCTCTCTGTTCTGTCTCTCCCCCCTTTTCTCTCTCGCCCTCTCTCTCCCTCTCTCTCACTCCCCCCCACTCTCCCCCTCCCTCTCTTTCCCTCTTTCCCTCTCTTTCTCCCTTTCTCTCTCCCTCTTCCTCTCTCCCTCTCTCTCTCTCTCTCTCTCAGGAATCAGACGGCTCTGTTTGGTGGTAATCCGCGATATGAGAATGTGCCTCTAATAGGCAGAGGGTCTCCTCCTCCTTCGGTGCGTTGATTTCCGGAGGCCAAGTCCTCCTAATAAACAGACACACACACACACACACACACACACACACACACACAACGCTGTCATGTCTAACCTGAGAAAGAAGAACAATAATCCAATAACAAGGGAAAAATAACAGAGTTCCTGTTTATGCACTGTAGAATACTGTAGAACAAACACAAGCACTCCCACGTCTTCTAAGACATCATGACAGTTTTGTGTGTTCAGGATTAATCAGCACATAATTCTCCATAGATGGTTAGAAGCCCTTCGTTTGTGGCTTTCGGCCTGGCCCTGTGTGCGCAGATTTGTCCAGGTTACCTGCATCTTGTGATATTATGCACTGTGGAGGGTGAAAAATCTGAAATCGCTACCTCAGATATTGAGGAACATTATTCTTAAACTGTTAGTTGTTTGCATTTTTAGCAAAGTGGCGAGCTTCAACCCCTCCTCCCTCGTAGGGGATTGGGCTTCCCTCGAGGCTCCCTTCATACCCTCACATCATTATGTAGCTTTATGAACATTGTGCAAAGTCCCTAATCCTAAATTGATTCCTCCACAGCTTATTTGGGTCTCCTAGCAACCTGTTGCAGGCATCAATTGTCTTTGCACTATTTTCATTTAAATACAGGTACAATCGCCGCTTTCTGGTTTTATTAGAGTTTGACATGCTGTCCCAACATTTTTGGGAGTGACATTTGTGAGATTAGCCTTAATCTGAGTCTGGGAACATCAGAGTTACTGACATGGGATTGTAGCACAATTGAATAAGTGGCAAGCAATTTTAACCCCTATTTATTTTATCCAATAACACATTTATAATAATAATATAAGTCTAATAATAATATTTATTTATATGACACTTTTCATACATAAAGATGTAGCTCCAATAGAGAAAGCATGAGTGATAGAGCAATGAAAAGAGTAGGGTAATGTTCTCTTTGCTGTATTGTTGATGTTCATGGCTAACCACTGTCCTTCAGATGAACATTGTTTTCCTCTTTTTTCGACTAATAGTCTTTTTTTACGTTCTTCTTTGTTCGTTTGTTTCTGTGTTTGTGTGTTTCTGTTTTTATTGTTTTGTTTTTTTTTCCTCCACCAAATCTAAAATCTTTTTTGGAGCTATACTCTCAGCCATATAGAAACTGCGTAAGTTACTTTTCTCTCTGTTCTGAATCTCTGGTGTGTTGTCTTACCTCTCTTCCTTTTCCTCGCTCACGCGTTCCTTTCTTATCCTGCATCTTTAGGTGTTAAATAAACCCAGATCCTGTCTCCTCATCACTCCTAGCATGGACCCCCATTAGTCACAGAGTTCAGTGTGTTCTAGACGCTGTTAGAAAAGGAACAGTTTGGTGAAAAATCAGACTCATAATGTTTGGTGTTTGAAGTTTTAGAACTGGTCAAATTACATGTTTTGTTAATTTTCTAATTGCAAATAAGCAACACTAAGATTTTATGGTAAAACCTCCAGTGAATCCTGTATGTCTAATGCTTTCTAAATGCATTTATAAGGTGTTATAGCAAATGTAACACTTTATAATGCCAGGCGTAAGCGTACATACACCGATCAGGCATAACATTCTGACCACCTCCTTGTTTCTACGCTCATTGTCCACTTTATCAGCTCCACTTACTATATAGGTGCACTTTGTAGTTCTACAGTTACAGACTGTAGTTCATCTGTTTCTCTGATACTTTGTTAGCCCCCTTTTACCCTGTTCTTCAGTGGTCAGGACCCCCATGGACCCTCACAGAGCAGGTACTATTTGGGTGGTGGGTCATTCTCAGCACTGCAGTAACACTGACGTGGTGGTGGTGTGTTAGTGTGTGTTGTGCTGGTCTGAGTGGATCAGACACAGCAGTGCTGCTGTGTACAACAGTGGTTTTAAGGTCTGATTGTGAACCTTAAATAAGTTTATCCAGGTGAAAAGTTCGTATTTGTTCCTTTTCATAACCGAATGTTTTAAAACAGAACAGTAAAATAAAAGCCTGGAGGCGAGACGGGGTGTGTGGAGTCAGTACAGCTTAGCACATATCATTTCAGTGGATTATGGTTCAGTTATGTTCTCTGACTAAAGGTAGTGAGATGGACACTTGAGGATTCCACCCCAGTGACAAGAGGGGCACTGACCCAGTGACAGTTTAGCACCTTTATTTCTGAGAGTGTGTGTCCATGAACCCAAAGATCTGCACCTTTTATCTGATGGGAAAAACTAACTTCCGTATGTCGTATTTGAAAAGATTCTCTATAATATAGAGAATAAGTCTGAGATAATTTGGGGAAACTTTACATACTTATACTATGATGACTGGTATTCACTACTAATGTTTACTGTAGCTTTAACACATCTTCCACAGGGAACAAACTCAATTATGGCTTTTAGTGCACAATTTCTGTTTATTTTTCTCCCAGTAAGCAGTAAACGATAATTCTGCATTATAAATATGTAGAATTGTGTTCTCTGTGGAGGATGTGTTCACTTATTTACACTCAAAAAATCAACAAAACATGGAATTTGACCAGAGATGCCCAAACGATAGAGCAGCAGGCAGCGAGATGAGCTGTAGGTGGTCTGATGATGAAGGAAATGGTCCACAGGACCAAACTGGAGCTTTATAGGATCTTCAGTTCTACAGAGGAGTGATTCGTGTGTTCTGTCTCCGCAGTACTCTCCGAGTATGAGAGCCACCTACCTCTCCATGACCGAGGACCAGATAAGGCACTTCGGGGAGGATTTCAGGGCCTAGAGTTCATCTCCTAACCTTCATCATCATCATCATCATCATCGTCTTCATCATCATCACCCAGCGTGGGCGAACGCTCAACCTGCGAAGAACCGCCACGTCTGTCTGTGTGTGTGTGTGACTGCAGTGAGTTCGCTGGAACACGGTCTCAGTTTGGGACATGCGTAAAGTCTGTGCAAAAGTTTAAGCGCCCCCGTCCGGTTCTGTTTGTTTTGCTAGTGATCCAAGTGAAAATAATATTTTTCCTCTACAGAGAACAAACAGCACATTTTAGCGCACAGTTACTGTTAGTTTGCTGAATTTAACATGTTGTGGTTAAACATACTTGGGTCCTGTGCAAAAGTTATGGCAACTTTTACAGCATATTTTATGTTTATTTTTGTTCTGATGTGTTAAACTTAGCAAATACATACAAATTGTGCACTAAAGTTTGAAATAACATGTTACATATCATTCAACTTGGGGGGGGTGCACAAACTTTTGCATATGACTGTACTGTACAAGCTTGCCGCCTCAGGACGATGCAGTCGTCTAATCCCAGAACTGCTGATTCAGTTCTCTTCAAGGATCTGATTTTATTTCTCATTTTTTACAAATTTAAACCAAATTTAATTTTATTTCTAATTCTCATATCGTCTCTGCTGACAAACAGGGGTTTGAATGTGGGTTTAAGAGGGTAATAACTTTGTTATAGTTAGCTGTTCGTTTATTCATTGATAAAATTGGACGTCATGAGAAACTTCATCAGAATCACTTTACAGACCTTTCTCACAGCTGCTGTATCGTCACATCTGGCTGTAAACCGTAGCGTTATAAAGCTTCTACCTGCACCGTTCAACAGAGTGGCAGTCAAAAATCTTCCTTCGGCCTCAGCACAGCCAATAGGAGAGCAGCTGGTTTCCGGTTGCTCCCCCAACATGGAAGAAAGTCTAGTTTGACTTGGTGAACCGCATCGTGCAAAAGTTGAAGCATTTGAGCTTTGTATGAAAGCGTCTGCTGCAGTGGACTCTGTACGCTCTGGACGCTGTGTGGAGCACGGTAAATGGAGTACGTTGTTGCAGACGCCTGTGCTGCACATCTCATTGAAAATGATGCGTTTCAAGCTGAAGTTCTGAGAGGTACTCATCGTCTACAATCCTGGGCAAAAAAAAATGGGCCAAGCCCAAAATATAATGTTTTTTTATTGATGGTTCTGGTTGGTCAGAGTTCAGATTTAAGCCCTGTAGAGCAGGGGTGTCAAACTCCACCACTAAAAGGGCCAAATTAAAAAATCTCAGCAAATCTGTGGGCCAGCCGTGTTTTTAGTTTATTTTTACTTACAATTTTGCCGTGACCCGAACGGCCCACTGTTTATTCAGTATACGCCACAACTGCAACAGCAAAATAGGCATTGAATACTTTTAAAAAATAATAATTTCCCCGATTTTCTCCCCAATTTAATTGTCTGCAGTTCCACCCGCTAGTTAGGACTCCCCCAGTCACACGATACTACCAACGCTAGGAGGGTGAAGGCTAACAGGCTTCCTCTGAGACCTGTGAAACCAGCCACCGCATTTTTTTTAACTGCCGCTCATGCAGCGTCATTGGACAGCTGAACGCGCTCGGAGGAAAGCGGCAACCGCCAGATCTGCTACGTCAGCTAACAGAAGCCTGCGGGTGGGGGGGCATCCTACCCACCCAGAGAGAGCGAGGCCAGTTGTGCTCTCTTGGACTCCCGGTCACGGACGACTGTAGCATCAGTGTGTTTGTGTTTGACACATGGGCTAAAGAGAAACTTTGGTCTCACATTAAACACAAACTAGCTCGGTAATGTTTTTCAGCTGTCTGAAGCCGTCAATGCTGAGTGGATCAAAACTGACTCTTCTTTCTGTAAAAGACTGTCTGCAAATTTACACATAAAACTTCAACATTTAAAGAAATCAAGGTGAAAATCTATCCTGCACTGACTTACTGCAGACATTTGTTGTTAAGACCATTAAATGCTTCATGTTTTGCCAGTTTGCGCCTGGCCCATATTTCTTTTTGATCGGTTACCTCGTTAAAAGTGACGCATGACGAGCTTTTCAGCTGAAGCATTTTAAAACGGGAAGGAGTGGAAACTCAGGTGAGGCTGTTTGGTTCAATTATCGGTGCATTTGGGGACGCAGCGTTTATTCCGGGCAGTATCAGCCATTGTTTACAACACAACAGTTTAAGCTTACAGGTTAATGAATGCAGAAGTGTGAGAAGGGTCTGTTAGCTGAATATATCAGCGTGAACAAGAGGCTAGTCCTGGTGGAATCGGAGAAAAGAGCCCCAGAAGAGGCCAAATATCTCTGCTTCTTCTTCGAGCTGTATATTTTGCGCGAGACACTTGCAGTGTTTCTGAGGCATTTCAATTTTATGAGGTGGTATCGCCCCCTAGTGGGCTGGCATGACCATGTGAGTGTTTTTGAATCATTCAAGTCTTGTGTGGACACAGAGATTGTCAAACACTGGACAAAGATTTTCGTGAAAGCAGAGAAAAAAATACTTAAAAAAAAAAAATCCGGATACGTGACTTTACAAAAAAATCTCACATATTTCACATTTGAAGAGTCTGAAAGCTCATATGATCTCAAGTAAACATGCGTAACGTGAATAATATCTGACGTTATGCCCATAACAGCACACGCAGTCGCACGTTTTTCACACGTGAGGTGATATTCATGTGATATCTCTGTAAAAGTGAGGACACGGATTCATAAACGGTCTAAAGAACACATGATAAAATACCAGATTGTATTTCTCCTTCATTTTTTCTTTGATTTCACTGCTTTTTAAAGTTCACCAACTCTCTGGACGACTGACCGTTCCTGTTAAAGGTGCATTAACTGAGGAAGCTCAGTTCCAGTGGACTCTGTTTGTGTGTGTGAACGTTTCTAAGCGTAAACTGGACGTGTGCATTCGGCGGAAACCTTGCATAACCTCGCTTCTTTTTTACAGCAGTTAAATCATTCGCTCTGCAGGACTCTTAACATCACAGCTTTCATATCGGACTCTTCGGACAAACTGCGTCCTGAGCCAGTTCAGTGTCAGAGGTCAGATGTGGTGGTGTGACTGAATAACCTTGACTTTATACCTTGTATTAACCTGTTCTTAGCGTTTGTAAATAACCTGTATAATAACAAATGTTGTGTGTTTTTGATTTTTTTACTTTTTCTTTACATGGTGCCACAGTTGCTTACCAGCCCGATGCTGATGGAGAGAAGATAATGTGTGTAGCCTTAGCCTGCGTTTGAGATTGAATCTGTTGTGTAATAACAATATTAAAATAAGTCTGTGGCATATTTTTTGCTTAAAGGGATACTTCGCTCAAAAAAACGAATATATAATAATAATCATGACGCTAGTTTGTCTCACAGGATCAGACATGATCTCAGAACAAGAATGAACTTCTGAGGGAACTTCATATAAGCTTATTATACACTATCAAAAATGAAGGTTGTTTAAGGGTTCTTTAGTAAAGAAAATGGTTCTGAATGGAAGCATGGCCACTAAAAGAACCCTTTGCATGATTTAAAGGGTTCTTTGCTTCGCAAAAGTGTTCAGATTGTTGGAGAATGTGCTGTATATGGTTCTATACAGAGCCTTTCTGAAGATGCATCTGCTATTGCTACAATGTGAAGCTTGATATAATAGAAGAACCCTTTTTGGTGCTATATAGAACCCTCGTCAAAAACCCTTTCATGCAGAACCATATACAGTGCATTCTCCATCAATCTAAAGAACACATTAATCATGCAAAGGGTTCTTTGAGTGCTCATGATTCTATAAAGGTCCATTTTCTTTACTAAAGAACCTTTGAAGAACCATCTTATTTTAAGAGTGTAGTTTGAAATTTGGAAATTGGTCCAAAGCTTAGTGAAGGCGAAATTTAAATGTAATGTAAAAGAAAATTGCGCAGCCTTTAGCGTGGCTGAAAAATCTCGGAATAATGTTAGTTTTATTAATTAGTTTGATTAAAGTTTGTAACTTTCTGACCTCAGATGAGGAAAATTTTAATGAAAACAACTGCGAATTCCTGTTTGTGAAGTCAAGAAGGTTTCTCAGCTCTGAACTGTGGCATTAGACCTAATATCAACATAGCTGCTCACATCATCAGCAGTAAAGACCACTTCACACCAAATGCGACGCAGCACTCACGTTAATCCAAAACCACTCCGCGACGCTTGTTGGTTCACACCGGACGCACCACTGTTCTTCAGTGGTCAGGACCCCCATGGACCCTCACAGAGCAGGTACTATTTGGGTGGTGGGTCATTCTCAGCACTGCAGTAACACTGACGTGGTGGTGGTGTGTTAGTGTGTGTTGTGCTGGTTTGAGTGGATCAGACACAGCAGTGCTGCTGGAGCGAATTACATCCATTTCAGTGGAATTTGCCACGATGAGCGCGTCTGAACCTTCCAGGCTGAGTAAATTTTACATTAAGGTCAACTTTGATGCATTTTGACATGCAAATTTGTCTCTTCGACCAATAGCGCTACTGCTTTAACTGTACCTCTGAAGGTACGGTGGGGCGGAGCTTCATATAGCAGCCCCGAACAACCAAAACAGAGGTTTGCTAATGCTAATTTGTGCAGTGTTTTAATCTTTTCTCATTTATTCCGCACTGACTATAAACACACACATAAAAAGAGGCCGTGTGATACGCAGTTAGATAGGAGACTTTATCATCTTCACTTTTGTAGTTTCACTGTTTGTGGTAGAAAACTTAGCCCACTTGCGAAATGTGACGTTAGCTTGTCGGCTAACCTCAGCTGCGCCCGACCACGGCATTCTACACTTCTGTGCAGCACTGTGCTGTGGCAACATATAGTTATTAGGCATAATTGTGTGTTTATTGTTTATAGTAGGCAATTGAGCCTGATAACTGCAATGTTAGCTTGTTGGCTAACCGCAGCTGCCCACTATCAGTCGCTCCACTGTCGCCAGCCACACCAGTTATCTACTCTTTCTTCTTCAGATCAGTGAGCAGCACTAAACTCCCATGAGTAATTATGTTCACTTTGGTGTTGTTACTGTTTATGCTTAGCGCATTAGCCAGCTTATTAAGGTCAGTCGTGGGCTGGAGGTTAGGGAACCAGCCTTGCGACCGGAAGGTCATTGGTTTGATCCCCTGAGTCAACAGTACGTGACTGAGGTGCCCTTGAGCAAGACACCTAACCCCCAACTGCTCCCCAGGCGCTGTGGATAGGGCTGCCCACCACTCCGGGCAAGTGTGCTCACTGCCCCCTAG